CGCCTTGTTTACGGCCTAGGAAAAGGGATCTGAACCGCTCAGCACCGTCATTTCACTCACCAGGCTCCGATGGCTGGGCCACGTGTTGCGCATGCCAGCCCACCGACTCCCTCGACGTTCGTTGTTTGCTCACCGGGGATGTGGGTGGAAGAAGAGGAGAGGTGGCCAAGCGATGACTTGGTCCAGAGGAATGAAGGCCCTCACTTCGGAGCTAGCCTCGGTTGGAGCTTCACGGCTCCCTGGTTGGGGTCCGAAAGACGGTGAACACGTTTGGCTGGATACACTTGCTGATATGGCTAGGAGCCGACCTCAGTGGCGTTTGTGCTGTGAGTTTCTTTGTCCCTCCCCATCCCTTTAGCCTCCCCCTCCACCTTCGATCTTATTTCGTAGGGTAAAACGTAATTAAATTTTTGATTTTGCCTAGTAGCCGGCTAGTAGCTTACCGGAACGATGCGTATCCGTTGCTGGTAGCTCAGCTGGCATTCAACTGTCGTATTTATTTTTCCTTTATGTATTGTATGTATGTATGTATTTCCTTTATGTATTGCGGTACAATAGCAGAGGTGTTTCACCATCTCTAGCTGACATGTATAATGATGATGCTGATGACATTTCGATATTCTCAGCTAGCAACAACGAACGCCACCATACAATTTAGGAAATAAGGAGGTTTAGTCTACATATTTTCCCCTTATAGCTTACATTCTTTAAAATATCTTCCATTTTCCGACTGGGATGTATGTCGTATGCATACAGTTGATCCCTTGTACATCTTACACCATAATCAGCTGATGCGCCTTCGTTGTTAGACAAGTAAAGCGTATACATCCTACTCGTGTTATTCCGTCTGATGCATCAGTCACGTTATATGTGGTAAGAGTGCGCTGCGATCTAACGTAAGTCGAGCGAGTCCGCTCATGGCCCAATGCAGAAAACACCACGGAAATGCACAGCTTCCTCTATCTAGCCTCATGCTACTGGCGACTCGTCTTCGGCTTCGCGACCGTCACTGCACCACTGAATAGACTATTGACGATAGACAAGGCTTTTAGCTGGGAAGCAGTTCATCAGCAATCGTTCGCGAATCTCCGAATCGCTTTATGCCATACCCCAGTTCTGCAATTTCGGGATGCAATGCCAACCTCGGCCACACATTTATCCTAGACGTGGATGCCAGCGATACCGATATTGGTGTCAACGCACATCGGAAGGAAGGGAACCTGTCGTCGCTTATGTCAGCAGAAGTCTCGGGATGAGAGCGAAATTACTGTACAACGCCGAAAAAGTGCTAGCTTTGATGTAGTGTATTAAGCAGTTTCGGTACTATCTGTTACGTCGCCAGTCCGTGATACGAGCTGATCACCTGTCTTTCCTTTGGTCCCGAAGAGCAGACCGTGCGCTGGTAAGAGCAACTACAAGAGTACGGTTTCGAATGTCAGCACCGCCCTGGCATAAAGTATGCAAGTGCTGACGCCTTATCGCGCAGGCTTACCAGAAGTCATGAACCGTGTCCGTCTTGCATGACAGAATGCATATTCGCCGTCATTATCGATGTCCCAGAGCCCGAGAAATGAACTGGAATGCAGCCAACCGACCCTGAGTTAAGCCTCCTATACAATCGCATCTCACGAGGCGAGGACAGACCCACAAGTCAAGAGCTTGCCGGTGCAAGTTTGGAAATTAGATGTATTTGGTCACTGCCCTCACGCGTGTCTGATTTCATTATGTGCTTCCAAAACGGGCCAGTGGCCGGAAGAATTGCACATCTGGCTTGCAATCCTTGGGTCACCGTTTCGAATCCGCGTGGTGGCGGGCGTGCTCAAGGTATACTCAATGTTGTGTATTCGCTCAGTATGCTTGACGGCTAGTCTAGACAGACACGTGCACAAAACTCGAGACATACACACAAAGCGCCTAATTCTCCGCTTCCCTATTGGTTCATCCTTCTCCTTGCGACACCTTAATGTACTCACGTAATTAGACAAATATCAGATTACAGTAGTTCGTTTACCGGAGCGACCTTCTTACTTCGGCTCGTGCATTTGACTTCTCGTACAGAACCGGTTGTGGTCGCATGGCAGCGAAACGTCGGTACAGTGTGTGCCAGCGTACTGTTGATGACTTTCATTTTTTTTCTTTCTTCGGAAGATAATAGTTTTTACGGCGGCAACCTAGGAAGCAACGCAAAGAATTCATTGCGAACTGGGGCATGCTGGGCACAATAAGGTGGACGAGGCAATTCGTCGTCGGTTTTGATGGCAATACTTGGGACGAGACATTGCGATCCATTGCCAGTCATGTGCCGATTGTGCACAGAACAGAAACCCGTCAACAACTCGCCGTGCGCCCCTACAGTCAATAACAGCGGGGTTTCCGAACGAGCTGGTAGGCATCGATATTACTGGCTCACTACAAGAGAGCTCCAGTGGAAGTCGTTACCTTTTGGAGTACTTCACCAAGGGGTGTGAAGTGGTTCTCTTGGAAATTACGGATGCATGGAACGTAGCAGAAGCTTTTTTGGGTGGCTAGATGGAGTTCACCTTACCAGTTGCACCCCGATCCTCGAGATATCTTCGAAAGCAATCTCACGAGTGAGTTGCACCATATATTCGGCATCCGGAATACACGAATGACCGCATATCACCCGAAAGGGAATGGACTAGTGCGCACAAATCGCACAGTGAAAGCGCTACTGAAGTCCCTCCTTAACAGTGAGACACCCCGATAGTAAGATATATCTTCACTTCGATATTTGCTGTCCTATGGAGCATCCGTGCACTCATCGGGGGCCAAACACCGCACTTATTGATGATGGGGCGTGAACTTCGCTTGCCTTCGGACACTGCTGCCGACCGCTCGCCATGAACCCATAGTCGCGCCTGATCACATACTTCAAATGCAATGCAGTCTGCTGCGCGCACACCAGTTGGCACAGTCGCATTTACAAATTTCACACCGCCACCAGAAGGCGTATTTCGGTCGTAAGGTGTCCTTTCAAGCCAGTTGACACCGTTTGGCCCAAAACATTAGTAATACCAACAGGCGTCCCTGCTAAATTTTACCGCCAATGGGAAGGCCCGTACGTCGTTGAGAACGTATTATCTGACGTTACGTATCAAATTTCTAAGCCTGGCGCATCGGGCTCATCAACCATTGTGCACTTCAACAGGCTGAAGCTGACCAAGGTATCAATGGCGCTGATGACAGAGCCTGTTAAGAAGGGGGTATTGTAACACATCTGCGACTGTTCGTATAACGCGCCGTTCGAACGAGGTGCTACATTCTTTCGTTATCGGTCTGTTAGAGCTAATCAAGACAAACACTGATACCTTTTCTTGTTTATCTCTACTTCCCGTACCTATCTCTGGCACTCTTACCTTGGATTTGTTTCGCTGTTATTTCCCGGCACCTGCTTGCTAGATTGCGATATCCACATCTTTATCTTAACCTCCATTTCTAAGTGGTTGTAATAATTTCATCCAGCCGTCTATGTTGTATTTGTTTTACATTCCAGCTCTACAGATCTATTACGATCTCACCTACGCACTGAACGCGTAGCAACTCGCAAACCTCGACCGGACGCATATTACATCCGGTTTCGCGAGGTCTTCGGATGATGAATCAACTACTGAGGCGCACCTCTCTTTGTGCAAAAGCACAGGTAGCAAGTGAGGAAATGTAGCATATTTGTCGTCATGTTCAGGTAATCTGCTTGGAAATCTTCAGCATGTTCGCTCTCTAAGTGGGTTTTATTGACTGTTGTGTTATTCATTCGCAGGTCAGCACATACATCTGAGCCGAAAAAATGATGTTGCTATCATCCGGTTAGATTCAAAGGATTCAAAGGTTGTTTTACAAGAATATTTGTTTTACTTCAGGTTAATACACTTTCAAGAGAATTTACTACGGAACTGTTGGAGAAGGTGACTGAAGTTGGAGCCGATTCTTCAATTTCCGCAGCCGTTATCATATCAGCAAAACCAAACTGCTTTGTAGCTGGGGCAGATATTAACATGCTGTCGGCTTGTTCATCACAGTCCGAAGCCACAAAGTTATCCTCGTAAGTTTCGACTTGTCGCTTACTTGTTTGCGCCCATGATGAGAACTGTAGTTTTGTAATTTTCAGCAAATGCATTGGTGACACTTGTTTCTTCTGCTTCATTACAGTTGGCTTTACCGCATTGTTCATTGATGTTATCCGCATTTTATTCGGCTACGCGTCGTCGCTGTTTTTTGTTTGCAGCGGATGCGGCTTTCGTTAGCTGTAAATTAGACGTTTTGAGTACCAACACATTTCAGTTATTGGAGCAAACTTTTGAAGTCCTATCGGCTGTTATGTGCACTTCCATTTCATAGTTGCGGTGGTATACATGAGTACTGTAAGTAGCTTCTTTATTCGCACTCCGTCTGCGAATAGGTGTCTAATTTTAGAAGATTTCAACCTCCGTGAAGCCTGTCGATTTGATCTTTGGTGCATTTCGGCGCAAGAAATGTTCGATGCAGACTTTCTTGAGTTATTCCCCCAAGTACCGTTGCACCAGTTCGGGGACTTTTCCACTAGGTATATGGACACACGAAAAAAAATCTTCAGCTGTACGACGTAACGGCGCGTCGCTGCAGCGTGATCACCACAAGTCATCGCGAGGACGCTCAACCATACGCGGATTCGAACCGGTGACCTTATGATTGGAAGCCAGGCGTGCAGACCACTCTGCTACCCGCCAACATCTGGACACACAAGTATCATTGGATTTTGGTAACTCCCTTACTTCGTAGATGACGTTTTGGACGGTACACGTCTAGGAGCCAGCGAACACGTATGCATATCCTTTTAGTGTGCTCTTTCAAGACACCATCAGACTGCTGTTGAATTACTTCCGAATATTTGGCTAGCGGACTCTAGTCCTTTGCGAGCTAAGGTTTCAGTTCTGAACTCTGAGATCTCGATGGCCGAAATTGTCGTGAGCCTGAGATAAATTTAAGGCCTACCTTACGGAGGTTGCTGCTCCACACATTTTACTTTTGAAGAAATGTGGAAATACATACACAACCTTCATTTATAGATTCCACGGGCAAATACCTACTCAAGCATCGGTCTAGATACTGGCGAACCTACGAAGCAGCTTTTTCTGTCAGCACCTACTCGTTATCGAGATGTTGGAAATAAATATAAGCAACATTTAAGGACTGCTTGTCTCCAATACGAGAAGGTTTTAGCTGGCTCGGCCGCAGTTAATCCCAAGTTCTTTGCTTACGTAAAGAGGTGCGGCGTTGCAAATCTGTCTATACCAGTATCACTACAAGCAAACAGGATAAGACTTGGATACCTAAGGAACAGTATACTGGTGTTTGCTCTGGAGATCTCTTTACCATAGGTTGAATTCGTTTCAAGAGTTCCAGAGAATTCTTGTTTAGCTGATTTTAGGTCTTCGAGCTATTGCAAGGCATAAACCTCTCCAAAGTTTCTGGCTCTGATTCACTTCATCCGAAGCTGTTGCACGAATAGACTGCTGAACTAAGTGGTCCTCTCACATGCATGTTTTCGAAATCGCTTGACAACTGTGTCTTACCTTCGGAATGGAGGGAGATAATCATCTGTCAGATTTTTATGAGCTATTATAGTAATCTGATAGTGAACTACCGGACTGTCAGTTTGACAACTGCGATTTTCAAGTTGTTTGTAAGACTGGTAAGGGATTCCGTGGGAAACTACGTTCCGCAGGGGATTTTCGTGTCAGACTAATCTACATCTGGTTCGTGAATGCCGCACCGTAGCGGTAGATAGTGGACACGCTATAGGCGTGCTATCTGTAGACTTTGAAAACGTTTGACACTGTCTCTCATCGTATACTCTCATTAAAGTTGATATCTTACGGGATATCTGGTCTCGACCTTAAATGTGTGTCTGTTTTGTGGAGGGGAAGGAGCATTATGTACGCCTTTCGCTTAGGCAGGTTCTCCTTAAAGGCATTCCGCAAGGCTCTGTGATAGTTCCATTTCTGTTCGCCACTTTAGTGAATGACTTGCCGGGGGAGCTTGAAGTGTCGTTGCTAGTGTTTGCTGACGACCATATGTTCTGGAAAATCGTGGATTTTCCTGGGGGTTCTGAGACTACTCAGAGTGTCCTAAATAGGCTTTGAGAATAGTTGATGCTCATAAATCGGGTCAAGTGTTCTGTTCTCTGAGTAGGAGCTGCTAGACCTCCCACATCATGTGTTGTCGGCGGTGGTGAAGTCCCTGTTGTCTCTCCGCAGGTTAATTTATGTGTCGTCCATTCATCGGCCCTCCACCATAGCGACAAGTAAAAAAAGGCTGCTTGTAAATAGTTTTTTATGCTGTTTTATCGGTCACTGCTTCAGCCGATATGTTAAGTTATTCTTGACATTCGTGGGACCCCATCAACATCATGCTCATCATCAATACACGTTAGCTGAGGGTGGGAAGCACTTCAGCTGGTGTGCCGGAATGTAGAGAGAAGAGGTTAGACACTATAGACTTGAAAATACCACAAAGTAATAATGCTAAATTTCATATTATGCATGGATATGAGATCGTTGCTAGAGGGGGGGGAGCTAAGAAAAAGGAGAGTTATGGTCGCCAAGGTCGCCCCGGCCGCTCCGATTGGCTGTTCGCGAAAATCTGCCCGCCCCTGGTTGGCTGATCAAAAGGGCAAAGTCGTAGGCACGACTGTGTGTCAGCCACGAGACGACTACAGAGCGCAGAGTACCGATACTTATTTGTTCGTGGTGTCCTTGCTGAATGTTCTCTCTTCTTTATTTGCCAATAATGGTATTAGCTTTTGCCAGAACATTCTATTGATTAACCATTGCGATTATCCTGCTTGATTTCTGAAAAAGGCTGGAGTTTGATCTGTTTAGGGTTCACTGCTCCATTTATTGGGTGATCTAACACTCCCCGTTTGCGGTCCACTGTTATATTATTTCAGTTTGGATTTGACATGGAGCTGCGTGACAGGTATTCGGCAACGATCCATTCATCTTACCGGCTGATAATCAGGTGCAGGAGTGGTTGTTGGGATGCTAGGCTTATCTTGTTGAGTAGCTTCTGTCGTTGACATTTTGAACTCGTCCAGAAGTATTTCAATAAAGGGTGGTTAGAGCATCTTCTTTTTTGTCGAATGAAGTGTAGCTCCTGAGTTGATTGATGTACCGAACCCGTCTGTCATCGCCTACGGCCGCTTCATAGCAAATATGGTCATGTCATTTTACAACCAATCCAGATTTCCAGGAGACTTTGTTGTTCCGACAGTCCTTTGCCAACACCTGTTCAATGTCGAAATGTCGTGAGATAGCACGATGTCCTCGGTTGTACTGATGCTTCATTATCCAATTTCTTTCGGGGCCTTATTAGATCTAATTTCGTTCGAGGCCTTATGAGCAGAAGCGATTCTGCTGGGGACTTCGTCAGACGTTTATGGATTCGGCGTAATCCTGTATGTTAGCAGAAAAGTCTGTAGGACCTGTGTTGGTCCGTCTCCTTCAGCTTTGAGCAGAATCCTCTTGAAAGTATCCACAAATCGTTCAGCTTACCCATTTGACTGTGAATGATAAGGAGGTGAGCACACGTACTCCATGTCATGTAACGCACAAAATTCAGTAGTGTGAGGAGGTAAGTTGAGTTCCATTGTCGGATACTACTGTTTCCGGAAAACCGAACCGACAGCCTACTTCCCTGAGAACTGCAATCGTGGCTGATGTGGATGTATTCGACTTTTGGAAGATCTCTGGCCAGTTGCTATATACATCGATGATAAGTAAAAAGTTTTATTCTTTGATTGACCCTGGGAAATCAAGGTGAACCCTTGACCCTGGTTTCTTGGGCGTCAGCCAGGAGAACAGTACGCATTTCCGCGACGATTTTGCTGTTAGGGAACACGTTGAACACGAATACGTTAACTCCTCAGTTTGAGAATCCATAAGTGGCCAATACACCTAACTCCTGGCTGGAGCCTTCTTTCCGTTGGAGCCGGGATGTCCAGTATGAAATTGATGTAGGACTTTGAACTGACTGGGATGACGACACGGGCACCGAAGACGATACAGTCTTGGATGATAGGTAATGCATTTCGTCTCTGAAGCAATTGTTGCAGCTGCGCGTCCGAAGTTCTTCTTGACTACTGTTGTTGCGGAGAGTCAGCGTTCAGGCCGAGAGCAATTGCGCAACAGTGGATCGATCTACAATTAGAGATCGAACGCGAGTAAAAATCAAAATGCGAATCTATATGGAATCAACGGCAGGTCGGACCATGAACTTGAACCGTTTGAATTGCGTTACTTAATGTTACTCAGCATCTCCAATTTTTTTGTGTTAGTAGTTTCTTACAACCTATTTATTGCGCCATGCTCTCGTACAATAGACTCCGAATCCCTCAGTTCGGCTGGTCTTGGCGTTCTCATTTCTTGCGGGATTGGACTGGTTGGGGCGGTACAGCAGTCAGGCAGGTTATCCGTACACTCAGCGGGAAACCACAATATATTTCTGGCGACGGGAGGTAAACTGATTCAATATGGCCATCTCAGCAGAACAGCTGAAAGCTATTTTGCTTCAGCAACGGCAACAATTCGAGGCCTCACAGCTGCGTATTTTCGAGACTTTCACTCCAGTATACAGCTATCGCTTCGGAGCAAATGCAGACGCTCCTTCAGTTCCAGCATTCAATGCTTGAGGACTCACGGCGGTAATTGACAGAGATGCTGGCACAGAAGTTAATCATTCAAACAGATTTGGAACTGAAACCAGAACTCACATCAAAGCACATTGCAGGTGAATTTTGCAAGGAAGCAAATTTTACAAGGAACCTCGGGATTAGACACCAAAAAGGTTGAAAATTCAAATGCTAGATGTGAACTCCAGATCCGCCACACAGCTAATGGAGGCCACAATGTGAATCAAAACGTGTCGAAGCAAAATCGCCCCACTATGATTATTGCCGCATTCCGCAGAGATCAAAACACACCAAGAGGCCTTTTGTCGCTAGACAGAGAAATTGTCTGCGAACGGAAATGCAAGGGTCTGCAACTGTCCAGATACACAAACTAA